CTCTTCTGGCCTGCAGGCATACACACAGACAGAACAATGTATACATAATAAGTAAATAAATAAATATTAAAAAAAAATAAGAAGTTTGGAAGGCTCTGGCCGGGGAGAGGGCTCAGTGGTTAAGAGCATATATTGCTCATGAATCTGAGTTCAGTTCCCAGCAACCACATCAGGCAGCTCACAACTACCTGTACCTCTAGCTTCTGGACTCCTTGGATACTACACACACACACATACAAACACATATACACCTTAATTAAAAATAAAATCTCTCTTGAAAAGATAAAAGAATAACTGTAATTTGGAAGACTCCACTTTTTGAGCCCTCACAGATTCTTCCCTGACTGCAGACTGGCCTCTCCAGCTGTTTCTTGGCCCCTTTCCTCCTATCCAACATCTAGCTAGCTTTGCCGGCTTCGGTACTGAGAGTGGTTCTCTGTTAAAGGGCTGAAAGAAGGGATGCGTGGTGGCTTAGAGACAGCATGCTCATTCAGTTCCCAGCTGCTTGCTGTCTTAGGGAACAGTGGGCAGAGAGGGGAGAGCAGAATACAAGTAGACTTCCCCGGGTGGACTCCAGCATCCCAAAGGGGATCATAAAGAGGGGGATCCTCTCTGAGGCGGGGTATAGAACTACAAGGAGGCAGGTAACTGAGGTGTTTATGTGGAATGTGTGCCTGTGCCTAGTTCCCCCCGCCCAAGCTCCAGCCCCATCTCACCTTTCGGATGAAGTTATGTCGGACTTTCCGGTCATCCCATTCTCCATGGCCAAAGTTGTCACTTGCTGCTCTCTCCTCCCCACCATAGTCATGGCCTGGGACCAGACACAGATCATGTCAAACCAACTGGGGACCTAGGACAGGTGGCCTCCATCTCAAAGAACCCCTGATCCTGTCTCAAACAAAGGCTCAGGTACCTCTGTTCAGAAGACACATTTGTAACTCACAGATTCCTTTATCAAGCTAGAGTTCTCTGGGCACCCTCAGAGTAACCCCAGCTGGGCTTAGGTGAGGAAGAGCTGTCCTGTCAGCAGGCATCTGCTGCAGGCTCTGTGCCCAGCCCCCATCACTGGGGGCGGGAAAGTGGCATCACCATCTAGGGAAGCAGCTGGCATCTAGGGAGTAGAACTGGATGGCAGAGCAGTAGCCTTGGGGTAGAGGGCCAGAGAAAAGGAGGAAGACGTACACAGACAGTGGGCACAGGAGTCAAGGTCTCGGTCTGTAGCAGGTCCACAGTATACATAGTACATGCAACTGTCACCTGTATGTGATATCTTAAGGTCTGCCTCAGAACAAGTGTCCAGTAGGAGCTGGCCACACACTGGCTCTGGGACACTGAGGCTACTGCAAGCCACCAACATTCCATGGATGCCTCTTTGGGAACTGTTTCCAAAATCTACCCAGAATGAGGTGGGGTACTGCTCATAGGCAGAATACATGCTTAGCCTGTAATGATCTGGAGTTCAATCTCCCATACCAAAAAGAAATGCAAAATCCACCCCCCACCCCGAAAAGAGGCTTACTATAGTCTAACCTCACCTTCACTGACCAACCATGACATTTTGGCTGTTGACAAAAATCAGACTGTATATAAAGGATGGAGATTCAGCTCTAGGAGATTAAAAAAAAAAGTGCTTAGGGTTCCTAAGGAAGACGTGGTACCCACACACAGTGGCAACAGCCTTGTTGAGAAACAGAAGTGGTTCCTTAGGCAACCACCTGGAAGCCATTTCACCCAGCTATCTTCCCGGGGGTAAGTTCTGGTATATGTCCTATGGCCTCGGTGTCCTTACTGAATACATAGGTCAGCAAGTGGCTGGAGGGAAGAACAGGAGGCCAAGGGGAAGGTGGGTCAGGCAGAGGAAATGGGTACCAAAGGGGATGGAAGGAGGAAGGGAATGTAAGGGCTCCTTGGGTCCCAAGTTCGTCTTGTCCTGTCCACACCCAGCTACCCTCCAGGACTCCAGGACTCACCGTAGTTCATGGGCATTGGATGGATGGGAGGCATTGGCTGTGGGTAGCCAGCAGGGTGACCGTAACCAGGTTGGGGGTAGGCAGGGTAGGCAGGGTATCCACCTGGCAGGACAGATGGCTGCCCATAGCCCCCAGGAGGTGGAGGGCCAGGGTACAGGGGGTTGCGGTCCTCATAGGGAGGCGGGGCAGTGGGATTGGACATGGCCACTCAAGGGCTGAGGGGAAACCCCAGCTTCTGGGACCTGCAATAGGAAACAAACAAGCAGTCATGAGTTCTTGGTCACTCCCTCCACCCTTGCTCCCTTACAGGCTGTGTCTCTAGGTCGCACATGCCACTCACTGCCCACAGGCCACCCCCCCCCCC